TTAAATATGCCGTTCAAAATAACACCATCAAAAAATGAAAAACAACCAAAAACAATCAACCAAACTATCCTACGTTTTTTCCTTCAGTATTTACTCCAAAGGGCCTAAGTATTGTACACAGTATTCACATGCTCTTGTCTTTCTCTAGTTCTGAAAAGACTATCAAAGTTAACGAAACTTGTAACAGTTTTTGATATGTATACTGTGGTTATAACATCGTAAAACAATTCCTCGAGTACATAACTATTTTTTTTGACGAGATATTGTTTTTGGTTTTCTGTTTGTTTAAATAACCGGAAGGAAATGTCATTATTCTGTCAACTAAAATTGTCTGCCTTGATGCGCTTACAAAAATACCTTGTTCATAAAAACGTGATATAAATATATATATAAATATATATATATATATATATATATATATATATATATATATATATATATATATATATATATATATATATATATATATATATATATATATATATATATATATCAGTTGTATATGTTTGATACTCCAAATCCGCCTAATATAGTATTTTACTTGGAAATACTCTTTGATAGGGTTAGAGTATTATTTTGAAGTGCTATTTGATAGAGAACTAGTTCTTTGATATAGTACTACTTTGGAGCGCTATTTGATAGAGGATTACTTCGGAGTGTACTTTTATACGGTAATACTTTTCAGTGTTCTTTCATAGCGTATTATTTTATAGTATGCTTTAAAAACGTATTACTTCGGAGTGTGGTCTGGTAGAGTATTACTTTGGAGTACTCTTTGATAAGGTATTACTTTGAAGTGCACCTTGATCGAGGACTATGTTGGAGTACGCTTTGACAGTGGGTTACTTTTCTTTAATGGGAAATAGTCAATACGCTCATACGCATATATATATATATATATATATATATATATATATATATATATATATATATATATATATATATATATATATATATATATATATATATATATATATATATTAAAAGTTACGCTAAGCGTCAGCATTTTTCTGATTGAACGATAAACTCTATGGTCTAACTGAATTTTGTAGCACATTATTTGATTGGTATAACAGTTCAATCGGTTCGATCTAGTCCTAGAGTATATATCCAGGTCGATTCTCCTATGGTGTCATCTATTCTCAAGAGAAGATGTGGGGATGCCTGGACTGGTCGACTGTTCTTTCCAGTATGCTCTTCAATCCCATGTATGTGTAGGTATCCTGGGCCCTTATCAACATAACAAAAGACAGCGATATCGAAAAGAAGAATAAATGGGAAAAGGCAAGTGTATCAGAAGGGGGTCTTTCTTTACATAACCACTGTGAGAGGAAATTTAAGAAGAAGACTGGTGAAAGAGATGTGTGTGTGTGTGTGTGTGTGTGTGTGTGTGATTTGGATTTTTAACGTAGCTTTAACAACTTTTCAATCATATACTTTTCAATCATATCGCTACTATGTTTACAGTGTGGCAGTTTATAGTGAGGTCTAGCACTGGGACATCATGCCAAAGACATGTAGCATGATGTCCAACCAAGTCACATTGTTTTGACACCAGGCCGGCCAATCCTAACAGTAACCTCTTAATGCTGAGCACCAAGCGAGGGAGATGTTATTACCAGTCTTATAAGTCTTTGGCATGACTTGGCCTGGGTTCGAACACGCGACCTTTTCAAATATTTTTATGGGGTTTTGGATAAAGAGAGGAAAGGAAAAGAAAAAAAAATACATCACTTGAACTCTACTCTGCTGTCATTGCTATTCAGATATGTGGAGCTTTGCTTGGCCACAATTATATTTATATCCATTCTGAAAATATGGCCCTAGTTGACATTAAACAATCATGTAGGGACCCACATTATTTATTTACTTCGTAACCTGGTCCTGCACTGCCTTAGCTTTAATAATTTGCTACGAGTTTATCTATTTATTTGATACTCTTTCACGCTAACAGGTGTAACACCTCGAACTCTATGCTGACGAAATTCCAGAACAGGAACGGGAACATATGGTATTATTAGACTAGGAGTAAAGTGCTTTTTGTCTTTCTTTAGTTGAGAACACTACGTCGATTCACAAGATGCTTTATTTAAATATCCAGTTTAAACTGTTTAAGTTTTCAAGTACCAATTTTACACCTTTCATTTCATAGCTATTTGACCAATTTTATGAATCATCTACTATATTTACATATTTCTCAGCAATTGATCATGTACACATACTGAGCAATATTACTTACTCAACCAGTTCCTTTCTTATTCGAAAGCGTCCACAAATGCTTTATAAACAACCACCACACAGCCTACCAATTCATAAATGTTTTCTATTCAACCTCATAATTGTCCCAGTTTCTCTCACAATTCTTTCAACACGGCTATATTTAAATCAATATTTCCCCTAACATTTCATGCGTTTCTGCGCGTGGGGGAAATGGAGGTTCGACAACCAGGCTGCTGAACCATGCATTGCAAAAACTCTAATGGTAAACTCTTTCGCCTAAGTGTCGTGTTACAAAATGTGAACGACCAGTACCCTGTCCGTGCACTGCGGCAATATTTACGACTGCGACGGTTTCATTCAAGAACACTCTTTTTACCTCTGGTGGGTTGCCCATAACTAGGTTGTAGTTTTACCATATCTCGTAAACATTAAATCTCAGTTCTTCAGGCGTTATAGTTGTAGGACAGATATAAAAGCAGAGGCTATGCTAAAGCAGAGTCTGTAAGACGGTTTGATTCGGGTCCTTGGGATGTGGAAGTCAAACGCCTTTAAGAAATATATCCACCAGTTATTATGTACTTTTGAGAGAGTGACGTATGTAAGGTTAAGTTTTTGCATTTAAACATGCACATGGGAGAGAATGTTGGTTATACATCTATGCTTTTTTGATAGAATGTTGTTCGATAATGTACTTTTGGAAATTGTAAATGATCTAAGCACATTGCTAACGAAAATGACTGCCTCCTTGTGCTCCAAAACAAATCAATCTGAACTTGTATAAAGTACACTATCTTTGGCAGCTATTAAAATAGGGAAAGTGAATTTTGCCAGACTAGACAATACCAGCTTCGGAAAGTGTAATCAATTAATTACCACATATATAAAAAGCAAAACAAGTTATCGGCTCTTACCTCTGAAGTTCAGGAAATAAAAATGACCAAATGGAGCTAGCACATTTTGAAAGGAGCACATCTGGAGTAAGGTCAAGCTGTATACTCTATAAGCCATATTATAACCATCATACACCAAAATAAAGGGAATTAAAGGCTTTTTGAACAATGCCTAAGATATACGAGGTCATTTTTAAATAGCCAGTATCGCCAACGAGGAAAGCGGGGGAAATTATTTTTCTTTAAAGTTCTAATCCTATGCAAGATATGAGCAATATAACTTCCAGTTTGTAAATACGTGATGAACAACTGTTTGCACATCAGCCTAGAACTTTTAATATCAGTTCACCTTTCTAGTTTTTCGGGTTGTGTGGGTCCAGATATAGAAACAGCGATCTAGATAAAAAGACACTCTTTCATAGTAATTCGTTGAAGATAGGATAATCTTAAAATGCTTCAATATTCCAGTGGGAATTAGTGACCTTGCATATGAGCATTTCAGGATTCGTTCGTGTTCAGAATCTTCCGTATCTTCTGAGAAAAAGGTGCGAAACAAAACTTCCTTCATGGACTGTGCTTTTGAGTTGTGCAAAACTAGTTATTGAATTCTCTTTATGTTTTTGCAGGTCATCTTCATTTTGGTACTACATAGAGAGTGGTATAGGTATCTGAGCTCTTTCTATGTGACGATGGTCTTTTAAAGCCTGTAAATTAATGTCCAGCAACTTAGGCTAATGCATTCATAGAAAAGCTATGCCATTAAATCTGTAATTTTACTACGACTTTAATACGTATTGTATTGTGTTAAAGTATGTTTGTATGTATAAAAGTGTCACATTTGTGTATAAACATTCGTAACCTTTTCTTTGGAAAAAAGGGGTGTTAACATACTCTCATACAAGAAGAGGGAGTTAAGACGCAAAGGAGGAAGGGAAAGAAATAGATACATGCTACAAATCTAAAGCGTTACTGGATAGTCGGGTGTGTGCATTGAATTGAAATAAAAAGCGGTTGCAATAATTAGCGTTCTTTGTTGTAAATACAAAGTATTACTTTACCATTCGAGTTTGTCACCATTTATGTTCCACCCTTTGTCTCTATAAACGTTTGATCGTTTGTTTCTGCGCAATATATTACATGAACATTTGATCTCAGAATACCATCTCTATGTTAAATCTACTGAAAATTGTACTGTTGGAATTCTCGCATAACCCACAGAGGCATTTCCATGTAAATCTATGGCATAATGTTAATTTTTTTGTATAACACAAATATTCACGTACAACTTCATGGTGCCGACCTCATACCTAATATGTCCACAAGGTTCCACCTTTAAAATCAGGTCATAGCTTCTGCTACTTTAATAGACGGTCTTATTGACAGGGGGGGATTCTTTCTCATGGAATAACTATTGTGTCAAGTAGCTCTTGTCCTACATAAAAAGGATGTCAATATGACCGTACAAAATGTTTACAAAAATTTCATTGCAGTTACAACTCGTAAACGGATAGCCATAACAACGCTTGAAACAAAATTCTTTCTTGGTAATATATAGTTTTTTCTGTATTTGTAAAATTCTGAGATAACCTTTATTATGGCTACCCTCAGTGGCGTCACTAGAGTTGCTATCACCTATTGAGAATGCTCATTGTGTAACTCCCGTGGACTTCCTTCCTGCACAAAACAATTCAAAACAGTCTTGTGCGGTAACTCATGGCGTCACCCCCATGGACCTTTTTCCTGCACAAAAATTTAAACATTTATAGTTATTTTGGTGTCACCCCTCTGATGGTGGTATCCTGTGCGGTCCGCAACCCCCTAGTGACGCCACTGGCTACCCTGACAACCATTCTGGAGATCATATATGTCTACTTACAAGAAATATTACACCGTTCAGATGGCCTAATGGTTAGAGCGTCCGCCTCAAATGCGGGAGGTCGTGGGTTCGATCGGTTGATATAGGTCGAGTCATACCAACGACTAACAAAAATAGAACTAACAGCTGCTAGTTATTGAATATTTGCTTGACACAAACATTATATATATATATATATATATATATATATATATATATATATATATATATATATATATATATATATATATATATATATATATATATATATATATATATATATATATATCGGTTATGTGTATATATCATTCCTCAATTTTAAAAACTACATATATATATATATATATATATATATATATATATATATATATATATATATATATATATATATATATATATATATATATATATATATATATATATATATATCGGTTATGTGTATATATCATTCCTCAATTTTAAAAACTACATATGTAAAGGGTCAATTAAAACAGCTTTTAATGTTTTGGTGGGTTTTTTAATTGCTTTTTATTTTGAATCTAAAAACTGGATCTAAATGCAGTGGAATAAATATATTAACCTATTTGTAGTTATTATAATGTGATTTAAGTACTCCTAACAATTAGAATTAAGTGGAAAATATTGTTTCTGGTGTGTTTATTTGAACTCAAATGGCCAGAATGTATGGTGTAATGACTAAAATGGGAATATGGTCCTTAATATTCCATTTATTTCACATTAATGTACACACATCATGTCTAAGATGGGTACATAGACCATAATATTACATTTATTTCACATTAATGTACACACATCATGTCTAAGATGGGTACATAGACCATAATATTACATTTATTTCACATTAATGTACACACATCATGTCTAAGATGGGTACATAGACCATAATATTACATTTATTTCACATTAATGTACACACATCATGTCTAAGATGGGTACATAGACCATAATATTTCATTTATATTACATTAATGTACACACATCATGACTAGGATGGGTACATAGACCTTAATATTACATTTATTTCACATTAATGTACACACATCATGACTAAGATGGGTACAGAGACCTTAATATTCCATTTATTTCACAATAATATACACACATCATGACTAAGATGGGTACATAGACCTTAATATTACATTTATTTCACATTAATGTACACACATCATGACTAAGATGGGTACAGAGACCTTAATATTACATTTATTTCACATTAATGTACACACATCATGACTAAGATGTGAACATAGACCTTAATATTCCATTTATTTCACATTAATGTACACACATCATGACTAAGATGGGTACGTAGACCATAATATTACATTTATTTCACATTAATGTACACACATCATGCCTGAGATGGGTATATAGACCTTAATATTACATTTATTTCACATTAATGTACACACATCATGACTAAAATGGGCACATAGACCTTAATATTACATTTATTTCACATTAATGTACACACATCATTCCGGTAAATTAAGAAAGCATGGGTATTATTCTAAAGCTTAGATAAATTGGAGAACTCGCAGAAAAGTAACTCAGCAAAGAGTAACTGATCCTCCACGTAAAAACGAAGTAATATGCTAGCCCGCATGTGTTGCTTACCTGCTGGTAGATTTTCCGGCAAACTTATTATGTCTTTTATGCTGTCGGTGACATCTGTGCAACTTTGTGCAGACACTGAAACAAAATTTGATAAAGTTCTAATTTTTAATTTTATATATCGCTTTCTAATATTCAGAATATGAAGTATAGAGATTGTTTGAAGGCAATTATAAAACTTCATACTTGCACAGTTTCATTCCATACTCATTGCTATATTGATCGTGGTTTACAAAAAAAGTGTGCGCTTTTGTTGAATCATGATCTGATTGCATGTTTTGATTCAATAAAATCAAGTGAGAAAAGAACAATGTATGGACGAACTTATTTTCTTCATATCATTTACTTTTGTTGAGTCTATAAATTGCTATTCTATCACTGATTTTACTTTACACCAATAACGCATGGAAGCATAAGGATCTCATCTCCAGTTACTGCGTGCCTGTACATTTTCTTTCATTTTTTTAATGCATATTGCTTTTGTTTCGACAAAGAAAACAAAGATATGAACATTGATACTGTTTTGGTTACCGCTACAGCTCAAACAATTAAAATGAGGGAACTTAAATTCTTTATCAAATAATGCCAAGAATTCATCTTAATGTTTAAATCAGCAGAGTATATATTCCCTATGTCACTGAGTCAGAAAAATAAATACATAAATTTTGCACCATAAAATATTGACTCACCTGTGAGGAAATGAAATTTCCATGATCCAAGATGGAAAATATGAATTAGAATCAGAGCAGAATTTAGTTTGGACGCCATTTTTTAAAGTTTCTTGCAGGTATAACGAAACAAATTAAACAAGAACTCTATGAGCCGTTCTCACATCTTTTTGTTTCTGTACTTGAGATATCCAAGACTGCCAGGAACACTAACATTTATTTACTGCAACGATAACTTATCATTTTACCTCCAAACAGCGGCAACGACACGGCAAATCTACCTGTTAACGATTAAATGAATGCTGCTGTGAAAAATACAGTTTTAATCATTTTCTTTTATTTGTTTTGTAAGATCATTTGAAAGCAGTGTATAGAGACCCATTCCATGTATTTTGACATGCCAGAAAGATTAGATTTTGGCCACGACAACACTGTGAACCTTTCAGATTAATCAACATTCCAACTCACATTCACTTTTATAGTGTGCTGAAGATTCGACAACCTTCAATGTGTAAATGTCCGTTGTAGAGTTATGTATTGTATTGTTCTGAGTTAAAAACTTTCCCTTTTAACCAAGTAATGGGTCATAAAATCCAGTGAAACAAACTAAATTATTATAATTTACAAACACAGACATTATCATTATTTTAATGAAGAGTACCTTGATATGCAAACTTTAACATACAACTGTAACATTTTACACGTCCCAAAAAACTGTCTTCTGACAGTAGCTAAAACAAATCCTTTCCTGGAGAATTATTTGACACTCCAGTTACAAAGCATATATATATATATATATATATATATATATATATATATATATATATATATATATATATATATATATATATATATATATATATATAGATAGATATATATATATATATATATATATATATTGATCGTGAATTAAATAGAAGGAGAATTGAGCAAATCATAGCAATTAAAATTGCATTAATATGGACCAACAGCAGGTGTCAAAATACTTTTATGCAGATTGCTAGTGTTGAGTTGCCCATAACTATAAACTGATTAAAACTATCTCACGTAGCCAATTTATTATAACGGCTGTAGACTACTTTCATGTAGGTAGTGTTACAAATATATAAATAGAGTTAAGCTATCTCTGAATACATATATAAATCACTTTCATTGTACCCTGGCACATGTTTTCGATAAAGCAGAGAGAGAGAGAGAGAGAGAGAGAGAGAGAGAGAGAGAGAGAGAGAGAGAGAGAGAGAGAGAGAGAGAGAGAGAGAGAGAGAGAGAGAGAATTTGCTTGAAACAAGTATAAAACGGATATATTTTATTAAGTGGATGAGAAACAATATATAAGACAAGCGTAAAAATTTTCACCCACACGATCAAATGTATCCGTTATTACCTAGAAGGAAACAAATTTTTATGTTTTTATTGAATGTTTAAAAACTGAAAAGCATTGGCTAGCAGATCGAAGTAGCAGATTTCGTACTTATACCGTGCGATGTTGTCAGCAGTTAACCGTTTATCTGATGAGATTTGTGTATATTCTCACAGAAAATATCCTGTCTGAAAGGAAAACAAATTTGTTAAAAATGAAAGCAAATGATACTCATAGTTTGGTTTGAGCTATCAATATAGCCAAATTATGAGCGCGTATAATTTGTTCGCAGTCGGATTTTGTAATCCCTATTAAGATACCACTGTGCGCAAACGACCAATCTATATTTGATTACTTCTACTACTCTTGAAATTGTGACCTGCGAAGACGCTAACCGTAGCTAGATGTGCAACCATGGTGTCAATTTGCTGCATGTTCCTATTCGGAACAGAAGCTAGCGCTGCCGGCATAACAGCCACTCTTGTCGCCGCTTGCTGAGCTGTAGCAAGAAGGGCCATCGGCTTGATCAAGTCCACAACTTGCTGTTAGTTTATCTCGTTGACCGCGATGTGCGCGGGCAGTGGCATTGCTTTAGCTGCCGAGTTTGCCAGCTTGTTTACTTTTCTTGTGCAGCTTCATGAGCCATTGTACTGGTCGCTGCGGCCAGTATAGTTAGGGGTTCGATTTCGATGGCCGTCTTAGGACATTTGCTGTGCATTAAACCACCTACTTGGCGAGGGGAACTATGGGTCTTGTTAAAACCCAATGGCTACAAATACCAATCTTACAGTGATCCAAAACGTATCGCCTAGCTAAACAAGATGAAGCACACTTAGATTGTACAGGGGTGGACCAACATAATCCTTTTCGTTTGCATTGTTTCATAGCATAGCAACTGCTGTCGAACAATAGGGCAATCCATTATGTGCAAGCTCACGATGAATATCTCTTTGTGCGGGTCTATCAAATTCCCATGCTGGTCATTGATATAAAATCGAAGTTTGTTAATGCATGAGCTTAAACACGGTAGGTAAATTGGCAACAGTGGAGAAAACGACATGATCCAAGTCAGGAGGCTAAAACGACATGATCCAAGTCAGGAGGCTATAAAGCACGTACCCATGTTCGTATTGACAATTCAACCTCTCTCGTAAATTGTTTGCTTTTTAGGAGAATAATTTCTTATATTTTTATGTCACTAACGAGTTCCAGTTTTTATATAGTTGAAAAATATAATGAACTTTGGCCTTGGCAGCAAATTCTTCCGAATATTGTCTGCCACTTTAATTAAAAATATTTGTGTCAATTTTTCGCGCAGCTTCCACCACCTAACTTCTTGCCCTACTCAACTTACTAGCCTCATATAATGCAAGAAATTGCTCCTCATGCTTCGTACACTCTTCCAGTAACTACTTTTCACGTGGATCACTCTTCTCACGCAACTGTGCCTCAAACCGTTCCT